GAAGTGCCCTTTGGGCCTGCCTTAAACCGTCGAGGGTGGCCCGTAAGAAGTCTTGGAAGCCATTTGGGCCGTCTTCGTGGTTCTTGGAAGTCCTGTCATGGAATGGAGATCCCAAAAATTTGACCATCCAGCCTACCTAGAACTTGAGCGCGCGCGCGAGAAGCGCGCGCAAGATGGCCATAGTGCATACATGTGTATATGTATATGTATATATACACATGCATACATATATGTATATATATATATGTATGTGTGTGTGTGTGTATGCCTGTCTGTCTGACTGTCTGTATGTACGACGTATGCATGTATGCATGCATGTATGCATGTATGCATGTGTGGGTGCATGGATGGATGGATGGATGGATGGATGTATGTACAAATGTATGCATGAATGTCTGTATGTATGTAGGTACGTATGTATGAATGCATGTATGTATGTATGTGTGTATGTAAGAGTGTATACATATATATATATATATATATATATGTGTTTGTATGTATGTGTGTATACATGTATGTATGTATGCATGTATGCATGCATGCATGTATGTATGCATGTATGCATGTTTGCATGTATGCATATATGTATGTATGTATGTATGTGTGTATGTATGCATGTATGTATGCATGTATGCATGTATGCATGTATGCATGTATGCATGTATGGATGCATGTATGCATGTATGCATGTATGCATGTATCTATGTATGCATGTATGTATGTGTGTATGTGTGTATGTGTGTGTATGTATGCATGCATGCATGCATGTATGTATGTATATATGTATGTATGTATGTATGTATGTATGTATGTATGTATGTATGTATGTATATATGTTTGTATGTATGTATGCATGTATGCATGTATGCATGTATGCATGTATGCATGTATGCATGTATGCATGTATGTATGCACGTATGCATGCATGTATGCATGTATGTATGTGTGTATGTATGTATGTATGTAAGCATGTAAGCATGTATATATGTATGTGTGTATGCGTGTATGTATGTATGTATGTTTGTATGTATGTATGTACACATGTATGTATGCATGTATGCATGTATGTATGTATGTACGCATGTATGCATGTATGCATGTATGCATGTATGCATGTATGTATGTATGTATGTATGTATGTATGCATGCATGCATGTATGTATGCATGGATGCATGTATGCGTGTATGCATGTATGTATGTATGTATGTATGTTTGTTTGTCTGTATGTAGGTATGTATGTATGTATGTGTGTATGTATGCATGTATGCATTCATGCATTCATGCATGTGTGTATGCATGCATGCATGCATGCATGCATGTATGTATGCATGTATGTATGTATGCATGTATGTATGTATGTATGTACGTACGTACGTACGTATGTATGTATGTATGTATGTATGTATGTATGTGTATGTATGTATGTATGTATGTATGTATGTATGTAGGTATGTATGTATGTATGTATTGCCCGTAAGGTCGTCGAGATCGTCAACGCCGGCAGCCGGGAGATCACAGTCGAGGGCGCGACCTCGGACCACCAGATGTTTACTCCGTACATGCCTAAACGCACAGTGCTGAGGCTGGGCGAGGCGTGCAAGATGCGGGTGCTCGTCGTGGCTCAGTCGGTGGGGCAGTTCGAGGGCGTCATCTACGTGCACACCAGCCAGGGGCTGGTGCCGTACACGGTCAGAGCGTCCGCCGAGGAGAACGATTACCGCGTCGAGCCCATCGTAGGGGCAAAGGTCGTGGTGGGCGAGAGGTTCAGCGCCCCGGTGATGGTCCACAACCCGCACGGCGATAGCATCCTCGTCCAGGAGGTCGCGACGGACGAGGAGTTTTCGGTAGCAAATCATGGGAGCTTGGTATACCCTCTTAATTCTGTGTGCAGCGCCGATTAGCATCGATTAGCGTCTGGGAGTCGATGAGGTAGCGCCGATTTAGCGTCGGCTAGCGTCGATTGGCGTCGATTTAGCGTCGATTAGCGCTGATTCGCAAGAGCCAACAAGATGTTATGGGAGGCTCCCGTGAGTTGCCACCGAAGGACTTCCTGCACCTGGCGCAGCCGGTGGACAGGCCGCCCAGCGACGGCGGGCCGGAGGGCCAGTCCCTCGAACCGGAGACCGCGCCGTCCTTCGGCAACAGGGAGTTCTGGACCGTGCTGCCAGGCCAGCACAGGCCTCTGGTGTACGTGACCTTCTTGTCGCACATCCCGAAGAAGAGAAAACGGCATACACCTTAGTCGATGCTTAAGAAAACCTAAGTTTTCGGCCAGAGTCTCGATTATTCTTAACGTTTCAATGTAAATCCTAAGATTTGAATGGAGATGTTGGTTTTTTTTTCAAGTTCTGAGACTATGAATTTCTTAACCCATGATTTCTTAAGCATTTCGCAGGGTGTAAACATCACCTTCTCGGAGGTCCGTGTGGATTTCTTGGATCGGCGCTGGGCACCCTTGGCGGCGCCTCCAGTGCCGCCCCTGGCGCCCTCCCCGCGCCAAGGAGGGGTAGTCCGCCGATCCAGGGAACATCGGCGCGGACCTCCGAAAGTTTGTTCGAGTAGGGGATCGATTACAACAGTCATTTGCCCCAGAATTTAGTTTCCCCATCGAATATACGACGAATGCGTTAAGGTGTCGAACATGTGCTGCGAATTCTAATCATTTTTCTGTATACTCGATGAGCAGAGTAGTTATCGGGCGTGTCAGTTCTTTGGTCGATCCCCTACTCGACTTATGTTTGTGCATTTTCTTCTGCTTCGAACGTCACTGGCAAGTTCAAGGGCAACGTCCACCTCACGACCAACAAGAAAAAACTCCAGATTCCCGTGGAGATCACCGTCACCAAGGGCGGCGCGCATGTGACCCCGGAGGTGGTGGACTTCCAGACGTTGGTCTCGCCCCTGCAGTCTCGCTCCATGTGGCTGACGCTGACCAACCTCAATCCGCAGCCGATCGAGCTCCTGTCGCTCTACGACCCCAAGCAGGATCCGAACCTGCAGATCACGGGTTTCGACACGAAGGGTCTGGACGTGCCCCCCGGCGTGACTGCGCGCTTTGCAAAGGTCACGTATTTCGGGGGCGAGGAGGGGCACATGGAGGGCAAGTTGCAGCTCATCATCAACGACACGGACTCGGTGTCGGCCACCCTGGACGTCCCGTACAAGGTGCGGGTGCTGTACGGCTCATTGGGCTTCATGAACGACAAGACGAAGTTTCAGTCGACGCCAGGCCGAGTCAAGTCGACGACGAGGTCCATCATGATATCCAACAACTTTTCGGTCCCGATCCTGATCCACTCTGCGAAGATCGACGACCCGAGCTTCCGGATTACCCACTTCGTGCCGAACACCACTTTGTTTCCGAGGGAAGCCGTGTCTTTGATGCACGTGGAGTTCACGTCCAACGGCAGCAGCCTCCTCTACTCCAGGGACATGGAGCTCGGCACAAATGTGACGGCGATGAAGATCCCGCTGCAGGTCTATCATGGCAAGTTGCACTGCCAGGTGGAGCACGGGGACCTCAAGGAGTGCGCGGACTCCAACCTGAACCTGGACATGGGCGTCATCAGCGTCGCGGAGGGCAAGAGACGGCAGCAGATCAACATCACGAACCTGAACCCTGTGAACGTCACCGTCGAGAGCCTCCACACCTCGCACGACACCGTGAACCCCCACATAGAGGGCATCTTCGGCCCCAGGGGCGAGCAGGTCCGCGGCTCGCGGTCGATGTCGCGGCCGCAGCAATCGAAGCGGCCGCTCACGCTGCCGCCGGGGCACCGGCTACTCTTGTCGCTCGAGGTGTCGGCGCGGGAGCCGGGCAACACCACCAGCACCATCACGTTGACCACGAAGCGCAAGGAGACTGTGGTGGTCCGCATCAAGTACGCCAGCGTCCTTGGCAACCTGGTCTTCAACCCCCCGCTGCTGCGGTTCCAGGCCTCTTTCCCTTGGAGGGTGCAGAGCATGATGGTCGCGGCCAGGTCCACCTTCGAGCGGAACCTCGAGATCAAAGCCGTGCGCTCGACGGACAGCAGGATAATCCCCGAGCTCATCACCCGCACACTGAACCCTATGGTCAGGACCGAGATCTGCCGGGTGCGGTACGATCCTTCCAAGTCGTCCGCGGTCGAGGAGAGCTTCCAGCCGCACGCCGACGAGGTCGAGTGGGACGCGCCCCTCACCGAAGAGGTCATCGACCGCTGGCTGCGCCAGCGGAGGGGCTGGGACAGCCTGAGCCTGCAGACGGACATAGAGGCCGCGCTGCTCTTCGACACCAGCATCGTCCGTGGCGCCCCGCTCCAGGTGCACGCGCTGCTCGCCCGCCCGGTCCTCGTGAGGGAGCCCCTGATAGAGTACGAGCTGACCCAGGTCGGCACGTCGACCTCGCAGATGCTGGTGGTCAGCAACCCCTCGGACGTGCCCCTGGCGGTCCAGCTCGTCTTCGCGGCCTGCGACCCGCTGCCGTCCGAGGCCAACTCGACGTGCGACGTGGGGTTCTCAGGAGAGGAAAAAACACACAGACACAATTAATCCTCGATTTTCCAGAAAATATGGGAAACTTTAGGAAGTGGGGGGGAAGACAGAAACCCAGAAAATATGGGGAACATTTTTATTTGTGTGTATTTATTTGTGTGTCCTGGAGCCCCTTCAGGTTCAAGCTCCCGGAGGAGGCCTCGTGGGTGGTTCACGTGAAGCCGCACGCCGAGTCGCTCGTGGGCCCGATCATCTTCGAGCCCCTGCAGCACACGGCGTACAGCGCCACGCTCTACGTCCGGAACAACCTCACCATGCTCTACCCCGTGAAGCTCAGCGGCATCGGGGGCTCGGGCCGGCTCGTGTTTCCCAACGGGTCCCTGGACTTTAACCTCACGGCGGCCGACATCGAGGCGGTTGACGAGGACCAGGAGCTGCGCCAGATTGCCGTCTCGAAGCGCTTCGTCGCCGCCAACGACTGCGAGCTGCCGGTGGAGGTGACGCGCTTCGACATCAACGGCGTCCCTGGCTGCGCCGGCTTCGGGTTCGAGATCAACGATTGCCGGCCGTTCACGGTGGCGCCGCACGAGTCGATCTCGCTGACTGTGTCCTTCTTGCCAGGAGAGTGTTTGTGTTACCCTCTGAGCCATAACGCTCGTTATGCCCCCTACTCTCTCCCCCCCTCTCCCCCCCATAGCGTCACGCTCCCCCCCTCGGTGCGTCCTCGGGACTGCCGCAGTGCGTCCAGCACCAGTCTGGGGGGGGGCGCTACGTTATGCACCCTCCCATCCCCAACCCCCAACGCCCGTTGTGGCCGCGAGCAAAAAAATGCGCTCCAGACTTCGCGGCCTCCCGCTGGGAGCAGCAGCTGAGGCTGCACACACAGTCGGGGGTGCTCGCCGTGCCCCTGCGCGCCTTCGTGCCCGACGAGCTGCTGCCGCTGCTGGCGGACCGCGCGCCCTTCCTCGGCGAGTCGGAGGCGTCGGTCAAGAAGGCCATCACGATCGTCTCGATCGCCCTGTGTGTGGGGATGTTCGTCGTGGTCGTCGGCGACGCCATGCGCCTCTACAGGTCCAGGGGCGACGTCAACGGCGTCGTGCCAGACGTCAAGGGCGAAGCTGGCGGGCTGGTCTCGTTGATGTCGTGGCCCGGGGTGGACGCCGTGGCGCCCTCCTCAGCGTGGGGCAGCGGCACCGCGCGCGACCGCCTGCTGAGCAGCCAGCGCGCGGCCAGGAGGGCGGCCCGGGGCGAGGAGGACGCGCAGCGGGCGCAGGCGCAGCAGCAGCAGGCGCAGCAGCAGCAGCAGCAGCAGCAGCAGCAGCAGCAGCAGCAGCAGCAGCAGCAGCAGCAGCAGCAGCAGGCGCCCGCCCGCCAGGCGCCGCAGCAGCCCGCCCAGCAGGCGCAGCCCCGCGCCGCCGCCGAGCACCCGCCGGGGCACGCCGAGGCCTCTGGGGCGCCGCGGCCCGCGCCGTCGCCGGAGAGGAAGCAGAAGGGCGGGCAGAAGGCGGAGCCCTCCGCGCAGGCGGGGGCGCCCGCCCCGAAGGCGAGGGCGGCGGAGCAGCAGGCCCGGGCGGAGGGCCCGGACAAGGGGCCGCTGGCGGGGGTCGAGGCCGCGGCCGCGCGCGCCGCCACCATCGCCGAGGAGCTGCAGAAGCGCCTGGCGGAGGACGAGCGCCTCCGCACCCAGCTCCTGAGGGAGCAGCGGGAGGAGACCGAGGCGCTGGAGCGCGCCATGGCCGCCTCGGCCGCGGAGGAGGAGCAGCGGATCCGGCGCCGGGCCGCGGCCGAGCGCGAGGCCGCGCAGGCGGCCACGGCGAAGGCCAGCAGCTCCCAGGGGCAGGCCCCCGCCGCGAAGGCCGCCGCCGAGAAGGGGAAGAAGGGAAAGAGGGAGGCGGCGGCCGTCCCCGCGGCGGCGGCGGCCGCGCAGCAGTCGCCGCTGGAGCCGCCAGAGGGCCGCAGGGCTCCGCCGCCGCCGCCAGACCCGCAGCCCGCGCGCAGCAGCAAGGCGCGCGAGGAGCGGGAGAAGCTGGAGCGCGCCGAGCGGGAGAAGCAGCAGCGCGAGGAGCGGGAGCGCCGCAGCAAAGAGGAGCGCGAGAGGGCGGCGCGGGAGGAGCGCGAGCGGGCCGCGCGGGAGGAGCGCGAGCGCGAGAGGCTCGCCGCGGCGGAGCGCGAGCGCGCGGCGCGGGAGGAGCGCGAGAGGGCCGCCGCGGCGGAGCGCGAGCGTGCGGCCGCGAGCGAGCGCGCGGCGCGGGAGGAGGGGGCGAGGGAGCAGCAGGAGAGGCGCCTGGAGGGCGCGCGCAAGGCGGGCGAGCACGAGCGGAAGGGCGGCGGGGACGGAGCGCAGGCGCCCGCGCCGCCGAAGCGGAAGGACACCGGGCGGCGAGACAGTCCGGGTGCATTTGGACCCCGGGAGGGCTCCGGGGACAGGTTTTTAAGTTGCTGGGCGTCTCAACTCGCCCTGCTCCGAAGTTACGTACACACGCCCACTGCCCCTTCCCAGGGGCAGAGGGTGCAGTCGAGACGCGGAAGCAAGGACCACTCCGGGCTCGGGAGGGGCTCTTGTTTTCGGGCCGCTCCTCAGATCCAGGCCGTGGCTCGCCCTGGGCTGGGAAAATCTCTTCGTTCCTTATCCGGCGTTCCTCGTGGGCTGTATGTATCTTAGCTACCCTGATACGCCCGCCTCGAAACGCAGCACGTACCGTGTTCAAAACGTCCGTGTTGACACGTTGCGTGTTGGCTCACCGTGTGAGTCCACGTTTTGGTGAACGCATCGCGCCAAACGTGCGTTTCCGGTCTACGTGTTGAGCTTCGTGCCAACGCGTTACGGGTTGCATGCTGCGTCTCGGGGCAGCTATGAGGTATGTAAAGATCTCGTCGCCCCAGGAGAAGGACGCCAAGCGTGGCGGCAAGGATCCGCCGGCGGCTCCGCCCAAGGACGTGCCCGCGGCGCCGCCGCAGAGCCTCCCGGGCGGCAAGGGCCCGCCGTCGGCGCCGATCGGCGGATCGGCCAAGGCCCCGGCCCCGTCGGCCAAGAGCGGCGGCTCGCAGAGGGGCGGCAAAGACAAAGGCAAAGACGAGGCGGCCCCGGCCCTGCCGGTGCCGCAGGGCTCCGTCTGGGCGGACCCGCGGCAGGGCGAGAAGGGCGGAGCTCGGGGGGGGACAAGACTGAGTACTGTCGGACCGAGGTCTAAGATCAATGGTCGGTTCTGGGAGGGTGCCCTCATGTTCTTCGTGTTTGCCGTATGTTCTTGAGCATCCTGGGGGAGGGCACGCTCGAGTATTCCTCCGTATGGGCTGGCGGAGAGTCTCGCGTTCTTGAAGGACTTTCTTCTGTCCTGGGTCCGACTTTATATCGAGTATCACTGACACGCCGCCGTTGGGAGCCCGTCTGCGTGTTGCTCTTTCGTCCCCTGACAACCGCCGATCTGTTTTGTCAATGATCGGGGGAGCGTAAGACCCGGGTTTGCCGGGACTCGGGTTCGCCATCGTTTTTTGACGACCGCGACTCGGATTTTGACGAGGAGGAGTTTCGTGGGATGTCTGCAGCGGGAGGCCTCGTCAAAATGCAGGCTCGGCCTCGTCATTTTTTTGACGACCTCGTCGGGGATTTCCGAGTCCCCCGTACCCGGGTCTTACGTCTCCCCGAAATGAACGGCCCCAGAGGTCGCGGACCTGGTATCCGAAAGGGTAGCTGTTCACCACGGATCCACATCTGATGGCCTTGAAACCCGACGACGGGCCCTGGAGGCCGAAGTCGAAGAGCAGGCGCCCAGACAGAAAAAAAAAACGGATCGTCGAAGATGTTGTTGTTTGGGCCGGAGAACTGGTGTCTCTTCGACAGTGGCGCGCTCCCGCGGCGGCGTGCCCCCCGATGCTGTCTTTGCTCCTCTACAGGAGCGACCCGAGCGGCTGTCGCAGAGCAGCCCCCGCCCGCCCCGTGGCAGGGCGGAGGGCGCTGGGCCGGAGGGCGGCAGCGGCACGCGGCCGCGGCTGCGGCAGAGCCGCCCACGGATGCCACTGGCGCGGCGGACGCGGCCGCGGCGGCCTCGAAAATCTCCGACCGGCTGCCCCCGCCGCCGTCGATGCCGCCGCCCATGGCGCCAGCGGCCTCGGGGAAGGGCGCCGCCCCGAGCTCGCAGAGGGCGGAGCCCCGTGCGGCGGAGGCGGCGCACCACCAGCTGCTGCAGCAGCAGGCGCAGGCGCTGCAGGCCCAGCAGGCGCTGCAGGCGCTGCAGCAGCAGCGTGCGCCGCCCCCGCCGCCGCTAGACCTGGCCAACCGCCACCCGCTGCTGCCCCCGCCCGGCATGGTAGACCACGCCGCCCTGGCGGCCGCCGCGGGCCTGATTCCCCCGCCCGCGCCGCAGGGCCTGCTGATTGACCCCGTGCTGGACAGGGGCATGGGGCGCGACGTCGCGCCGATCGGCCTCACCGCCAGCCCGGTCATCGGGTCACCGATGGGCCGGCAGCCGGTCACGGCGCCTGGGCTGGTGCTCCCCGCGGCCAAGGCGCCCCCGGTGCCACCCGTCGGCAGGAGCCTGCTCCCGGACCAGGAGTTCATCCCGATCAACACCGACTCCGCGGGGCTCAGCCCCTCCCTCGACCGCATGCAGGTCTTCTCGGTTGCAACTCCTGGTAGGCTAGATTCAGCGTCGGGCGGGTCGAGCGGAAAGAGCCCTATCCGGCACATTCCCGCAGAATCCGGCTTGATGCGACTTGTCCCTGGGCTCAAGCTGGGCTCATCCGGCTTAATGGCCCCTGAACCGGGCTTAACCACCCTAATCGTTCTTACGAGGATCTTCCAGAACCCAGACACCCGACGTCATGTTTGTGTTCGCAACGTCGACCCCAAGAGGTTTGAACTGGGCGGGGCTAGGACGAGGATAGATTCCTTCCAGAGTGTTCCAGAATGCTCCCAGAGCGTTCCAGAACGCTCTGAAAAGGTCGCGGCGGCGGTCGCTCAGAGCCGCCGGATCTCAGGTAGCAGTTCTTTTAATCATCGTTTCGCCGATCGGTGGGGGCCCCTGGCCTTTCCCCTCCCCCACCCTCCCTAGACCAGATCTCGGCTGCATTGGGCGACTGGTCAGGACCCCTTACCCCCAGTCTGCTTACACGACTGGTGAAGGCAGATCGACCTAGCACTGGCTCAGACCCAGAGCCCCCCTCTCCCCCACCTGTCGGCCAAATGTCGAAACCCAGAATTAAAAGACGCCTACCAGAGGTTCTCAATTATCCTCACCCGAATTGATCCTCGTCCTGGCTTCGTCTCACTGGACCCCTTCCCCAGAACCGGCTCTTCGTCTCTTCGCCCCGAGCCGCGGTTTGATGGCCCCCTGGCCCAGGGCCCAGAGAGGGCCCCATGTAGATGGCGAAAGTGGCCCAGAAGCAGTCCGCCGTGCTGTTGCCACGAGCATCGAGTGATTCGAGCATCATGTGAAGATCGGTCTGAACTCCGTTTCTGGCAAGATAGTTGCGTACACAGCTTAGCACGGGCGGGAGAGACGGGTTTGCAGCAACGCTTCCCCACCTCCGCAGCCATTTGCCTCAGAGGCCCCACAGAGAGCCGTGCTAGCAGGACACAGCGCACCGTATGCCAGCTTCGAGTCTAGGGACACAGTCTTTGGGACCTATGAGGTCTTCGGCGAGCCGCCCTTCGGCGGGGCCTCGTCGCTGTTCTCCTCGCCCTTTGGCATGTTCGGCCCAGTCACCGGCTACAGCGGCGTGGACGGGGTGGGCGGCGCTCGGGAGGGAAACAAAAATGGGAAGTGGAGGGGAAGACGAACATCGAGAAAACATGAAACGGATGGGGATCTCGCGTGTCAGTTTATCCGCGTGCCCCGGGGCCCCTTCAGGCGCGGGCCTGCTGGCCGACCTGCACGCGGACAGCCAGCCCGTGGAGCACATCTCGGGGGAGCGTAAGACCCGGGTTTGCCGGGACTCGGGTTCGCCATCGTTTTTTGACGACCGCGACTCGGATTTTGACGAGGAGGAGTTTCGTGGGATGTCTGCAGCGGGAGGCCTCGTCAAAATGCAGGCTCGGCCTCGTCATTTTTTTGACGACCTCGTCGGGGATTTCCGAGTCCCCCGTACGGTAGGTTCGCGTCGTGTCGACCGGCGGCGACCCCGCCGCCGACGTTCAAGGTTGAACGCCGCCGGCGGCCCAGAATCGGTCGATGTTGAACGACTGGACGTTGCGGGAACGGCCGATCGTTCAAGGTTGAACGATCCAGCGCGGTGTCAGGGACCAACGCTGGGGTCGACACGGCACGAACCTGCCGTACCCGGGTCTTACGTCTCCCCGAACATCAGCCGCCAGAGCGCCCCCAAGGGCGGCGGCGCTCCGCCTCCGCTGTGAGCGCGGCGGGGGCCGGCCGCTGCCGCCGCGCGCCCGCTCGGCCGGCCGCGCGCCAGCGAGACCTTCTCGCCGGAGCTCAGGACACGAACGGTCCCAGACCCCTTCGGCGTCGTGAAAAAATCACGACGGGAGGTTTTTCGCTATTTTCGGCCTCCGGGGGCCCTTACCGGGCCTCGGGAGCGTCAAAAAACGACTCAGGACGAAGAACCGGTCCCGGGGAAGGGGTCCGGACCTCTGGGGGTCGACGTCTTCTCGCCGGAGTTCATCGGAGGGCGCCAACTATACACCAACACCGATCCTGGCCCAGGATCACCCTGGGCCCAGGATCGGTGTAGATGCCTTCTTGCGCAAGGCAGGAGGGCGTACACACCGATCCTGGGCCCAGGGTGATCCTGGGCCGGGATCGGTGTTGGTGTATAGTTGGCGCCCTCCGATGAACTCCGGCGAGAAGACGTCGACCCCCAGAGGTCCGGACCCCTTCCCCGGGACCGGTTCTTCGTCCTGAGTCGTTTTTTGACGCTCCCGAGGCCCGGTAAGGGCCCCCGGAGGCCGAAAATAGCGAAAAACCTCCCGTCGTGATTTTTTCACGACGCGAAGGGGTCTGGGACCGTTCGTGTCCTGAGCTCCGGCGAGAAGGTCCTTCCTAGTTCACGACGCCGAGCGGTCAGAGGAGGGCCAGGTGCAGAAAAGCGGGGCCGTCTCCACCCGCACTGGCGCGAAGGCTGCCCGGCGTGAGTTCGCGCGTGAGGCCGCCCTCGCGCTTCCCAGGGTGGGGTTCCTCGTTGGCGGCCCGCGTGCGCCGCGGCGCCAGGCCGCGATGCCCTCTCGCGTAAGTTTTTTGCTCGTCGCCCCGTTGAGATAAAAAAGGAAGTAGGATTTCTGTTTGGGGGGCCCTTGTCGCCACGGCAGGACGCATCTCGGAAAACTGGTGCGTTTGAGCCCCCAGGGGAGTCTGGGGAGTGGGGATCGATTTTGAGCTACCGCTGTCTCAACTCGCCCTGCTCCGAAAGAGACACTGGCACGTACCGCTACCTCTTCATCGTCGCCACGGCTGCATTCGCTTCGGAATGATGGTCAGAACGCCCCTCTGGTGAGGTCCAGGGATTCGTGGCATCGGTACCGACACCACCGCCCGTCCCTCGTCGCCACGGCTGGGTTCGCCTCAAGATCTTGGTTAGAGCGCACCCCGCGGGTCCGTGGAGTGGCGTCGTCGGTATGTCATCATCCTCGCGCGACCCGGAGCAGGTACCTGCACACCACCGTCGTGGCTGCCCAGGACCATCCTTCAAGGGAGGAAAAACCACCCGGACCAGACAATTGTCGTTTACTAAACGGCCTTGAGCGTTTACTAGACAGCCCTGCCCTGTTCGGTGCCTTCCGTGGGTGCGTTTACTAACGGCCTCGCTTGTCGGGGTGATTATTCTGGGGGTGGATTTTCTGCCCTCTAATCCTGGGCCCTGGCACGGTAATTATGGCACCATCCTTGGGCCCGAGGTGGCCCTGGCCAGGCACGGTGGTGGCCGGTGGTGGTGTATGGATGCCTGCTGCGGGCCTTGATTCGGGTCGGACGAAGGAGGGGATTGGGAAGGGAGGGGGGGGGATATGAAATCTGCTGCGTGCAGCTGGTTTGGGCCCCGCCGCCGGGCGCCTGCCTCCGGCGCCAGGACGGGCCGGAGAAGCTTGCTGCGTGCTCCCTTGCCCGAGGGCTTCCGAGCCCAGGCGGGGCCGAAGCGACGTGCCACTGCGCGCGAAGCGCCCGCCGCGTGCTCAGCGGGCTCGCTCCAGAGCGCTTCTCTCATGACCGTGGCTTGTGTTCCTGCCTGCCTCCCTGCCTTCCTCCATCACTCCTCCTCGCTCGCTTCTGCCTCGTTCCTTCTCCCACCCTTCATGCCCCTCCTTCGCCCTCCTCTCTCCCCTCTTCCTCCCTTCACCTTCCGTGGCTCTTGCCTCTTACCCCCTAGCATCTTCTCCCCCCAAGTCCTCCCTCTCTCTCTCTCTATGCTTCCCTCTCTCTCTCTCTCTCTACTTGTCTTTATCACGAATCTCCTTCTCGGTCTCATGGTCTGCAGAACTTAGGTGGAGTGGTGATAGTGTGAGAAGGGCTTCAGAACCAAGCGTGAGGATCTCGGTGTGGTGTTTCTTTGCTGCGAGAGGCCGTGGACGGTTTCATGTGGGTGAAGGGGGCGGTTCCGGCTCATATTGTCCTTCGGAGGTGCTTCGGGTTTGTCGGCAGCTATTGTTTGCTGTAGTGGCCCCGGCCAGTGCCAGCAGTCAATAGCATGTCCCTGCTCATCAGGGCGGAGCACGCGACGTGATTATCCGTAGGGGCTTCGCCCCCTGCCGCCGGTCCCCCCTCTCTTGGAGAATGCGCTATACAAAAGCTATGTCATGAGGCCTGGGCGCTGTCGTGAAGCAGTATCGGAACTTCATGCGAGGCCGACTCGTAATGAGCAAAACAAATTGATCACCAGAGGGGTTACCACACTTGGCGGTTGGTAAGACGTCGTGACCCTGCGGATCTGCCTGAGGGGTGCCACCGAATTTCAGAAATGTGGCAAATCTTTTGTGTTTTTTGACCCTGACCCTACGGATCTGCGTGAAGGGTTCCACCGGATTTCAGAAATGTGGCAAATCTTTTGTGTTTTTTGACCCTGACCCTACGGATCTGCGTGAAGGGTGCCACCGGATTTCCGAAATGTGGCAAATCCCTGATGTTTTTAGACCCTGACCCTTCGGATCTGCGCGAGGGGTGCCACCGAATTTCAGAAATGTAGCAAATCCCCTGTGCTTTTGGACCCTGGCCTTACGGATCTGCGCGAGGGGTGCCACCGAATTTCAGAAATGCGGCAAATCCCATCTGTTTTTGGACCCTGGCCCAACGGATCTGCGTGAGGGGCGCCACCGAATTTCAGAAATGTGGCAAATCCCATGTGTTTTTGGACCCTGGCCCTGCGGATCTGCATGAGGGGTGTTGCCGAATTTTAGGAATGTGGCAAATCCTTGGTGTTTTTGGACCCTGACCCCACGAATCTGCATGAGGGGTACCACCGAATTTCAGAAATGTGGCAAATCCTTAGTGTTTTTGGACCCTGGCCCCGCCGATCTGCGTGAGGGGTGTCAATTTTTACCCCCCCAGAAGCTCTGAGAACCCTCCCAGGGCGTGGTAAAAAATTACGTTTTTGGGCCTCCCCCCCTCGCGCGGTCCATCAACAAGGAACAGTAAGCAGCAAGAAGTCAACAAGGAACAGTAAGCAGCAAGAAACAGAATTGGAACAGTGGAATTTGGAAGCTGCAACTGGCACAGGAGACCGCGAAGCTTAGCCCTACAGCCTGGTGGCCCCACAAGGGGGCCGGCGGATCCTCTTCGTCGGCTGCGCCTTCTTTCTCTTCGTCTGAGCGTGTGGGGCACGGCTCTACTGGTTTGGCAGAAGGGGCAGAAGTACACTGTTCGGACACGTGCCTCCTTCGTGCAATCGTGAAAGACACGAGCGCTGCCAATGGCAATGCTACTCATCACCCCCATTCCTCCTCTTCCTCCTCTTCCTTCGCTTCCTCCGCTCCTCCTCCGCTCCCCTCCTCGTCTCGGACGGGGTAGGGCGAGGATAAATCCGTTCCAGATCGTTCGGGAACGCTCTCAGAACCTTCGGGAACGCTTTGATAAGGCCCCAGAGAGATTCTCAATTTATCCTCCCCCGAATTGATCCTCTCCCTGGCTTCGTCTTATCGTCCTCTTCCTCATCTTCCTCATCTTACTCCTCGCCTCCTCCGCCGCTTCGCTATCCTCCCCCGCGCAGGCAGCGATTCAGGCCCGCGTGGGCGAGGCGGCCTTTCGGGCCGCGGACGCCTTCCTGCAGACGCCCCTGGACAGAGGACGCTCCCTGCGAGGTCAGGATCTGGAGAAGGGTCAGCAGCGGCGGTAGCTTTGCGAAGGCAGCAGCTGGCGAGGTGTGGCACAGGATGGGGAGGAGGAGCAGCAGGACCGATGGGAGAGGAGGTGGACAATGAGGAGGGGGGAGAGGAGGAACCCGAGGAAGGGGAGGACCAGGAGCAGAGGAAGCGGGACAGGGGTTTCTTGGGAGCTTCTTGGGGTTCCCTTGTGAGGGCCTTTTTGGGGCTGTTTGGGGCCGTTGTGGAGCTTCGTGGCTGTCACGGTCGGGAACTTTGGCTTAGCGTGTTGCTCTGCGGGTTCTGGCCCAACGCAACATTCTAGCCACGTCCCCACGCGCAAAGATTCTGAGCTTTCCCAGCCTCCCGCCCCGCGGAGCGGAGCGACACGCTATCAGCTTACAGGGCATAGCGTGTCGCCGGGGCCGCCGCCGCGACACGCTAAGCAAACGTTCCCAGATTGCGAAGTCACCAAACCAGTAACAACCATACTCGGCCATGAACCGAACGAGGAAGGATCAGGCCAGGTCATCATACTGCTATCAAGCAGTTAGTATAGCCGATGTGGTTTCTTGCTCCCGCCGTCTCTTCCCCTCCTTTCCTCATCTCCCATCCGTTTCGCCAGACCCCTGTTCCCCCCTCCGTCCCGTCGTCCCTCCACACACACACACCGCTTCCCCTCCTCCCCCCCTGTCCTCGCCTCTCTACCGCCCGTCACTGGAATTCCTCGTGACATCCATCCTCTGTCTCCCCCCTTCCCTCCCCCCCCCTCCTTTCCCCTTCCCCCTGTCTTCCCTTCCCTCCCCTTTCTGTCCTTCGCTTCGCCCCCTTCTTCCGTTCCCTCCCTTCCGTCGCATTCCAATATCGTTGTTGTTGCCTTTTTCCCCTTCTTGGCAAAGCGACAGCCTGGCGGACCCAGCTTCCCCCTACTTGTTGTCCACGCCATCCCCGGTATCTGGAGAGCGGGAGGGACCGGGAGGGAGGACAACTAAGCCGGTGGGCGCGATGAGCATTGCTGAGACGAAAACAGGAGGCGTAGAGCGGTCAAGTGGAGGAGGAGCAGGAGGAATTTGAGGAAGAGGAAAAGGAAAAGGAGGAGGAGGAGGAGGATAAGTATCATACCAACATGGATGCTTATGGTAGTATGGTTATGCTGCTGTTTGTGGTGATGATACTGTTGCTGCTGGTGATGGTGGTGATTGTGAGGATGATGGAGTGGTGGCGAAGAAGTGATGACGAGGAGGAGGGGGAATCAATCATGAGGCGGGCAATGGTGCAGGGCAGTGGAGTACCGAAGGAGGACGAGAAAGGAAGGAACATCACCAGGGAGGAGGAAGGGAATTTACGAAATGAGCGGGAGGCTGGATCAAGGAACAGGTAGCACGTGGGAGGTGGAGGACGAGGGGTGTGGAATAACGAAAAGGCACGCACGGCAATGGGCGAAACATCCAGAGGATTTCGGCAGTGTGTTTGCAGCAGTTTTTGGAACGTTGAATTTGGACCGCCTCTGCGAAGTCAGTCGATTGGAAAATAGGAGGGTTCGTGAGACGTCTACATTTTGGGCTAAGCAGGTGGTTAAGGATTGTCAGACACTGGCGGAGGTCAGCGAGGACGTGGCAGGCTGGTACACGCAGAGGCAGTCAGACATTTCAATGCCTCAGAAGAGTACGAGGGACTGGGAAGCGTGGATCGGGGAGGACCCCAGCATTCTACGACATGCAGGGCGTACTTGGGGTACTAAGCTACCAGAGATACTCGCGGGAGAAAAGTTGTTCCCTCAGTATTGGTGTGACTGGGAGGTGGGGGAGAAGGGGCAGGTGCGTGGAGCGCGTTTCACATCAGCGGCGGCGCTGGCAGCGCACGGGAAATCTGTGCACGATTGCATCCCACTGATCCCTAGCCGAGTGGTAGAGTGGTAACAAATCAATGTCCATGGTGCCTGAGCTCATCCGTGACAAAAATACGACCGACCATGTCATGAGGGCCGCGGATAGGCACGGGATTTGTTTCAAAAACAGAAATTGCCGGGATCACCCCGTCCAGGAGCCTCCTTCTTTAGGCTGCGCCCTCTGTGGCTTCCAGGCTCAATCACGGTGCAATTTTCAGATGCACGTGCGTTGCCGCCACCCTGGCCCGCATTGCGTCTTGACCCCTAAGATAGCGATTGCACCGCGGAGACTGCCCCCGCCCAAAAGGGGAGCAGACGCGGAGATGGAAGGACAACCGAATCACTACAAGGGCGGCGAGGGCGAAGGCAAGGACCAGTGGGCAACAAAAGGGGCCAGCGCCAAGGAGGAAGCCCGCCCGCGGCCGCGGCCGCGGCCGCGGGGGGGCGCGGCAAAGGGCGGGGGGGGGGGGGGCGCACGCCCCCCCCCCCCCCTCCCCCGCCAGCAGCCACAAGCCGCGGAGGACTACGAGGATATCGACTTCAGGGGATGCATCGACAGACTCGGGCGATTGGCCCTTCGCTCAGCGGCAGAGACGAGGGAGATGCAGCACGTGATCTCGGACTTCTTCCCCATGCCAGTCAGCAATTCGGCGCTATCAGAAGTCGCCGGCAGCTGGGCAGAGCTACGGGAACCAGGTCCGGGAGAGAGGCAAGGGGCGGCGCATGCTAAGGCCGCCGGGCATCCACGCGGGGATGGCGCCCATGGAGGGCGCCCAGGAGACAGTGTCGGAAGGGCAGAAATAAGATCCCACAGCCGTGGCGGCGCCGATAGATCGGGCGATGGACGCGCTGAGCGACTTCCTGAAGATGGCGGGCAGCAACAGCAAGCACGGCCAGGCCGCGGTCACAGAGACGATCAAGATGTGCCAGGCCAGCGAGAGCGACAAGGCCCGCAACGTACAGAACAGGAAAACAAACGAGGACGAGCAGCAGTTCTGGGAGGGACTCAGGCAACATCCAGATCGGAATCAACGAGACCCCCAACTCCACGGCAGTGCCCCCGAGGGACTCGAAAGAAGAGACCATGGCGAAGCTGGGCCAGTTCTCGGGCCACAGCTCAAGCATGGCCATGTTGATGCTGATAATCTTCGCGGGGGGCAGGCAGTCTCAGCTGGCGGCGCCCAAGTCGGGGTTGCAGGGGGTGTTGGAAAGGGAACTGTCGGCGCCGCTGGGTAGTTGCATTGGCGAGTTATCTCGGGGCGCAGAAGCCTCTGGGCAAAGTGCCAGACCGCGGTTGTCGCGGGCGAGCGCCAACATTGCCCCCCCCCCCCCCCCCGACGGCGCCTGCGTCGAGCTCTGACAGAGCCGCCCTCGGGGGGCCGGCCCCAGTGCAGTCGGGCATCGCGGGGGCGCCTGGCGGCGGACAGGCGATGAGGGGGGGCATCTTACAGATGATGAAACGATAGCAGAGTCAATCAGCATGGACGTTGAACGCCTCGCTGAACTTATACGTTTTGCCCCAGATGGTGGGATGTACGAATTGGCTTTAAAGTTTCGAGCAGAACGGGAAGCGACGCTGCAGAGAAACGCTTTGGGAATAGGCCCCCCTGGCAGCGACCTGCCCCCCCCGCTCTAGTCAGCGGCGGACATCTTCTATTGTGGCGACGCGGTGCTTATTAACATCCCCCTACTCCATTACAACCATGGAGAGACTTTGGGCGGGGTATTTCGCGCGCTGCACGGCGCGCGCGCAATGTGGAGATGAGCCGCGGACAGCGGGGGGGGGAATTGAGACCGCAGCGCAAGGTGCGACGTGATATGCGGGGCAAGTGAGCATTGCACTTCAACCTCCATCTTTCGTCTTCGGCCCCCACAGCCAATCTGGCCCAGCGACGGCCCAGGCGCGCAGCGCCGCGCACTGGCGGGGAAATCTCGGAGCGCGGGGCGCTGGAGGCGGAGGCTGCCCGTGGCCTTCGCGGGCAGTAGTCAGCCATGGCCCCGCGGGCGACGCAGCGCGGGGATCGGGTGATATCAGACGATCGAGAGCCGCGCGGGGGCGCGCCAAGGACGCGCCCGGGGCGCGAAAAAGATCAAGGAGGCAAAGGTTAATGGAAGAGGGCGCGCATCGACTGCGAGCTGGAGCTGGGGCAGGAGGGGGGTCGAGTGGGGCGACGAGGACACGGCGCGGCATGGGGGGGATCAGTGCGTCACGAGGGAGCAAATATGCCGAGAACAGACAGAAGAAGAAAGCAAAAGGAGCCGCGTGGGCAGATCAGTCCCCGGGGCAGATCCAGGCGGCGAAGGCGCTCATTGAGGCCGAGGAAGGACTTGAGAATCAGCCCCGCAACCAGAGGAACAAGATGGCCATGGAGAGGCCCAAGGAGATGCCGAAGGCGCAGCTGGAGGGGGGGGGCACCTTCGCAGCCTTCAGCAGAGCAGGAGAAGGCATGGCCGATGCCTTGCGATGCGCCGAAGACTGACATCCTGCCCAACAAGCACATGGCCATGGACGTCAAGGACGAAGAAGCGCTGATTGCAGCCAAGAAGGGATTGGAGGAATCAGAGAAGGAGCTGCACGGGATGGGCGATTACAAGACGGCAAAAAAATGTGAGACTCTGGCCAAGTACTTCACGGCGCTGGACTTCGCTGACAAGTGGAGCGACAACATGGAGCTGTTCAACGTGTGCAGGAGGAGCGCAGGGTGGGGCAGAAAGAAGGGCGCCGCCTGGTCGCGCGGACATGCCTTCCCTGCCAAGCTGCGGCGGCAAGGCCCCGGCCCAAACTCGGGGGGGGGGGGGGGGAACGCTGGAAGTTCCGGCGCAAAGTGGGCTGGGCGCAGCTCGCGAATGCGCACGAGAACCATCCAGAATACGGGCTCATGAAAGATTGGGTGGGCAAAATGACGGACGACTTCGGCAAGGGTGGCGGGAAGTGGCCAGACGTCGGGTGCAAGTCAATGTTCCGCCCGTTCAAGATGGGGCCTTAAATGGTGGCGGAGCCCAAGGTGGGGGAGAAGTGGGAAGCGTTCGTAGCGGACAGGCCGCCGCAGAAGCTAGACGATGCCATCGAGGGGAACCATTGCAACTTCTACAACGCTGCCCAGAAAATGAGCCCAGAGGAGCTCCTCGAGCCCATCCCAATGTCCTTCCCGATTACGCGCGAGGTCGACGGGCGCGCGCTCGCCGCAAGGCGCCCAGTGGACGCGCTGGAAAGAGCTGGGGGGGAGGCCTTCACTACGCAGAGCTAGCGCGAGTTGGCGTTGGAGATATCGAAGAATGACGAGGAGAGCCTCTGCGTTGCCATGGAGGTCGCCTTGAAGGAGTGGAGCAACGAAGACGCACTCGGCCCAGAGGGGGTGAAAAAGGCCCAAAAGGCGTCAGGGGCTACGAGGCAGCACGAAGACCCTGCTGGACGGTGCCGAGATCTTCGAAACATACGCCAAGTCGGAGGAGGCGGCTTTCTCCATCGGCCGCAAGTGAGAGAGCCGACGGACGAAGAGGTGCGTTAGCGAGGAACTCTCGGAGTGCGACTCCAGGCAGGCAGGGCGGGCAGACTCAGCGGGGCCGTCACAAGCGGGGCCGTCTCGGCGTGAGGGCCCGCAGGAGAATGCCCGCACAGACGACACCTCGGGAAGTGATTTGTTAGAGCGTCGGCAGGGACATTATTGCAGGGGGCGAAGAATGAAAGACATGCGAGAATCACGAAGGCCGCCAGAGAGCATCCTCGAGGGCCCCACCTCCAACATACCGCGACTATCAGCATGCCCTCCCTGATCTACACTTCGATGGGGGGGCGGCGGGGCACCGCTGCGGCGCGCCGGGGCGCAGATGCGACAATGCATGGGGCAACTATCAGCCAGTTCGCTTTGGAAAAATAAAATGAGCCGAGAGAGGCAGGATATAATGGCATCGCATCAAACGGTAGGATAATTTGGCCCCCCAGCGTAAGTTTGCATGGGCCTCCCGATCCCCCTCCTCTTTTCTTTTTGCGCGGTCGCGTCGTCGTCTCTTCCCCCCTGGCTCGGGGGCCCTGCTCTCCCCGCGCGCCCCCAATTCCGCGGGCGCGCGGAGGGGCCGACAGCTGCTCCGCCCGCGCTGACCCGCAGGGGCTCGCACTCACCAGGCAGCGAGCCCCTCTTGCGAGGCCGCCTCGGGGCGTGCCCCCTGCCGGCCCCGGTCAGAAGTCAGGGCCGTCGCGCAGCCAAATCGCAAGGGACTTTGCCAGACGCGCGCAGGGCGCCAGTCTAGGTGCGTCGACGTTGACCCCCACATGCGGATGCCTTGCCCTTTCATATATTCCTCCTCCTCGCCTTCCTCCCCCCCCCTCCTCTTTCCCCTGGCCCTCTTCGCGCGTCGCCGGGGGAAGGCGGGCGGGCGGGTGGGGGGGGGGGCGGCCACGTGGGCTGGGCTCGGCGCGGCGGCCCTCGAGCTGGGCAGCCCCTGCCGACGTAGCATGTCCTCCCCCCCCCCCCCCCCCCCCCTCCCCCCCCCCCTCCTCCTCCTCCTCCCCATCCCTCCTCTCCTCCTCCTCCTCCTCCTCCTCCTCCTCCTCCTCCTCCTCCTCTCCTCCCCTCCTCCTCCTCCTCCTCCTCCTCCTCCCCCACCCTTCCTCTCGTTCTTCTTCCTCCTGCTTCTTTCTCTTTCTCCTCCTCCTTCCCCCCCCCCCCCCCCCCCCCCCCCCCCCCCCGCGCACGCACGCGCGCGCGCACACACACACACACAACACACACACACACACACACACACACACACACACACACACACACCACACACACACACACACAACACACACACCACACACACACACACACACACACACACACACACACACGCACACACACACACGCACACACGCACACACGCACACGCAAGCACACGCACGCACGCACGCACGCACTACACGCACGCACACACCACACACACACACACACCACACACACACACGCACGCACACACACACACACACGCACGCACGCACGCACTCCGCACACGCACACGCACACGCACACGCAACACGCACACGCACACGCACACGCACGCACACGCACACCACACGCAACACAGCACGCACACACGCAACACGCACACACACACGCACACACACACGCAACACACACACGCACAACACACACACACACAAACACAAACACACACACAACACACACACACACACACACACACACACACACACACAACGCGATCGAGGTGGCCCGATCGATTGCGAGCGATTCGGCGCCGCCTCGCGCGCCCCGAGAATCGCGCGCTCGCAAGGGCCCTCTCGCCGCGCAGCCGCGGCGGCGGCGCCCCCGAGGGCGCGCGTCTGAGTTCCTCCGCAGGCCTCTTCCACTTCGTTGGCCGCGACCCCGGCTCTGCCTCGCGCGCGCCCAGGTTCGCCGACATTGCCGCCGAGTGCCCCGCCCGCGACGCGAGCGTGCTAGGCGGGGCCCAGCCGCGCAGCTTCGGCGAGTTCGTTGAGCCAGAGCTCATCGTCGATTGTTTCAGGTGCAACAGGTTCGGTTGCAAACGCGGGCCTCGCGCTGCTCCGTCGCGCGGCGGCGCGTGCATCACGCTCGGGAAGCGTCATTGTTTTTAACGCTCGGTCAAGCGCATCGCCCCAGTTCCCGAGCAGCTGCGGGGGGCGCGCAGGTTGGTGAGTTGGCGCGACAGCAGGGGGCAGGCTTCCAGCGCCATCGGATTAGATTTCCGCCTTCGCGTTTCGAATATTGGCCAGGAGCAGACCCATGACAGAGCAGTGGGAAGTTTGTTTGCGTGGCTTCGGAGTCTTCTGGAGTTTTTGGGCAGTGGCCCCTGCGCGCCAGGCTCGCCCGGGCTGCGAAGCCGCTCGCGAGGTCTTGCAGGCAGGTTTCACGCGGCGGGAGTTCATTCGCATTCTCAATCAGAACGCGCCGGCGGTCACGGGGGAGTTCGAGGAGATGGGCGAGGAGGGGGGGGGGGGGGATAAGTAAGGCGAACGTTGTTGTCGCGCGCGTGCTAGACAGTGCTGGTTGCGAAGGTTTTACTGCTTCGCCCCTTCCAATGGGCGCTTCGCCAGCGCCGAGCTACCCGAGCGCGCTCTACTAGCTCGGCCCAAACAAGACGGGACTTCGAGGCGCAGCATGTGGCGATGTAGTAGCTTGACAGCGGACGCGCGCGATGAAACATTTCAGTCGCCAGCTCAGCGGCGCAGCTCGAAAACGCGTGGAACGCGTTCTAGCTAGACGAGTACATGGACTCAGCCAGGCGCAGGATCAATGCGACCATTACCTCGCGCATAAGCTCTCCCGCATGCTCGCTAGCAAAGGGCGCGGCCCGCGCCAGAGGCAATTCCGCGTTCTTCCTTTCTCGTCGGCACGTGCCGTCATGCGGGTTGAACGCGCGGGGCAGCCAGCAGGAGGGGGCGGTGTTCGGCCGCGGAGTTCCCCCTGGATCAAGGTCGGGCTGCTGGCCGCGGGGGGGCCGCGGCGCTACGTCCCCGAATGTTTGGAAAGTGCGTTTCTGGAGGGCCTGGCCCGAATGGTTTTGCCTGCCCGAATTGCCCTGCCGACTTCTTCGCCGCGCGCGGGTGAATGAGCGCCGCCCGAAAGGTGGAGAGCCGGGCTCGGACGTGGCGCTGTCGTGCGAGAACAGAACCAAGCTGCTGAAATCCCTGAGAAGCATAGGCTCGTCGGCGCTGGAGGCGCACCCCAGCGTCGCGGCGCGCTGTCCAGGCAGCCCGTTTGCCCGAGAATGCGAGGGCGGGCTGAGATGGCGAGCGAGTGATCGCGGCCATGTGCACGTTGGGCCGCAGCTATGATGCAGGAGCTCCCCATCTGACGCCGAAGCCTCGGACCCCTCCTGACTGGGCCCGCGGCGGCCTCAAACACTGCCGTCGGCGAACAGCCGTGGCAGTCCAAATCACCCGCAGCTTTAGAATGCAGAAAGGTGCCGCGATGCCCCCCCCACGCCTTCTTCTCTTGGAGGCATTCCGCCGCGCTTGGCGCGGCAGGCCCGGTTTGCCCTGCGCGCGACCTCGAGTTTATCGAATATCGAGCGGCAGGGTGATTTCCAAACTCGAAGACGAAATCGGGGCGTCTCTGGATTCGTTCTGAGACGGGCGTGGCACCCGGAGATGCGGGGGCCGCGCGAAATGTTCGTTCGCTATGTTTCCCCAGCTCGTCTCGCAGCCAGTGGCAGATTAATGCTGCTCTCGTGGATGGCTCGCGGCCGCCGAGGCCCGCCTGCTCTGGGGCGAGCTCGGCGCGGGGCGCAGCCGACGAGGCGATGGAGATCGGGGCGGGGGCGGCGCGGCAGCAATTGGCAGCCGGGTCCACAGCATAGGATTAGGCTACACCGGCCGGGGTGGAGGAGGCGGGGGCATTGCAGAATTCAGTCGAGCAGGATGATCTTGCGTTTTTGGCTGGGCGCGGCGCGCGCCGTAGAAACGGGCCCCTGCGCGAGCAAGAACGCAAGACAAGAGCAGGATTGTCGCGGAGCCGCGCTCGGCATCTCGGCGGACACTTGTCATCTGCCATTTGTCCCTCTCGAGCGGTCGACAAGTGCCTGGCGACGCTCGGGGCCAGATGCTGCGCGATGGGCGGTTTCTGGCGTTCGACGGCGCCTTGGAAATTCAGAGTGAGTTTCGTCCGGGGCCTTCTGATCAATGGCGCCCAGTCTGGAATGGAGCCCCGGGCTAAATCCAAGGGGTCTCACGCCTCGGGGTATCCAGGTTGTGGAAACGCTATTGCGCGCGAGTGTCGGGCTGCCAATGAAGGGGCGGGGCTCCGAGCGCGAGGAGACTTTCGCCGGTCGCCAGGTCTCGTAGAAGTCAGGCGCGGCCCTGCTTCGCGAAGTTGAGATTGCGTGGGCTTCGGCGGCGGCGGGAGCTCTCCGAGGCCCAGAAATTGCACGGGCCTTTCTAGGATGCCATGGCATCGGGCGGTGGAGTTCCAGTCGGCGCGCGAGCACCTCCTCATGGGCATCCGCGGGCGCCCCGCTTCCGGCCGGGCGTCGATTTTCTCGGGCCATAGAGCTTGGCGAGGAGCTTAATGCTGATGATCGGCTGGATATTGTTCTTTTCGATCCAGAGCTGCGCGAGCAGTTTCAGGCGCTCGACGCCAGCAGGCTTCGGGCGCATTTCCCCCCCGCTGCCGCTGCCAGCGAGGCGCCCTATAGGCCGACGGTGTCCAGGGTGAATTCGTCAGCCTTGCGCGCTTGGGCGACGGGTCGCGGCGCCGTGCCCGATGGGCCACGAGAAAAAAACACATCGCGCGCGTCGCGTCCACCCAGGGGGGCGATCGCGGCGCATTGCCGGAATTTGCGCGCCAACCGACGCGCGCGCAACGCGCGGCCGCGCGCGTCGAGAACATCCCGGAGCGCTGCAATATATACCTCTATACCTCTATATATATATACATATATATAT